TACTTATCGAAATCAGTAAACATAATCTCCCTAAGTTGGTGTAGACTGTTCATTTTGTGTCTTGATTCTCAATATACGAGACGCGTATGTGAATAACACATCATGTTTGTTTGTTTGTTTGTTGTTTAACGCCGCACTCAGCAATATTCCAGCTACATGACGGCGGTCTGTAAATAATCGAGTCTCGACCAGACAATCCAGTGATTGACATCTTGAGCATCGATCCACGCAATTGGGATACGATGACATGCATCAACCAAGTCAGCGAGCCTGACCACCCGGTCCCGTTAGTCGCCTCTTACGACAAGTATGGTCGCCTACACATAATACATTTACATAACTGAATAAACATAACAAAAAGAAAAGGTATTTACATGCAGACACCAACCTACATACATTCTCAAGAACGTATATATACAATATTTCGCCAGCAAATGATACAAGCAACCATCAGTCACAAAACGTCAACACGTGAGCACGCCGACACTCACATACAATGTATTGTGCATCTACACATGTAAATAGTACGTATATCTGAATGAAGCAGCGTCGAAATGTGGAGGAATCATATGTCAGAGGTCATGTTTAGCCATGTATTGTCTCTCTTTTTCTTTTGTTAATACAGGCAAAGACGGTGCCATCGTGCTATTTGTAGTTCCTTTCTAGATATCAACTATCATCGCTATATTTTGATTGAATATTGAATATTGAATGTTGAATGTTGAATGTTGAATGTTGAATATTGAATATTGTAAATATTGAATATTGAATATTGAAAATATTTTTTAAAATATTGAAAATATTGAAAAATCTTAAGCTGAAAGTAACTCACTCACTCACTCGAAAAGACTTGAGATGTTAAAATAGCACGTTCATTCATTCCTCGAATAAAGGTGTAAAATAACATTTTGTTCGATTGTTGTTGTTGAAAACGAATATACTATATGCCGTCTATATAAACCCGAAACTGTTTATTCTCTTCTCCTCCTCTGAATCAATTCTGTCAGCATGGACAATAAAACAGGAAATCCCCTCTTGTTGACATATCCCACAACAAGAGATCAGCGACGGGGTGTTCCGGTCGAGTGGGCCAAGTCTCGTGAGCTGACCACATGGACGAGTCTGTTGTGTATTCACATAGATAACTGCCATTGGCATTCTTCCCCAAATATACATGCATCACGACACCCGGTCACAAAGAGTTCCCCAATACCCGTGCTGGGCCGGGTACTGTATGGAGGGACATCTGTTTCATCTACATCGCGACTGTAACCCACCCGTCTGACACATGTACCCAACTTGTTTCACTTCGCCTAACATGGCTTTGTTGCAACTTTCTTAACATATTCGCCACGTGTGTTTCATGGCATAAGGCCACAAAGGCTTTGAAACAGGGCCGAAGATTTTAGATGAGAACTGTGAGGTCTACATTTTGAGACAGTGACAGTTAGCAACCCTATTGGCTGCAAACTGTTATTTGTTCTCAAGTACAAACGATATTCAAGCGAGTGCTCCTTTAGGGGCAGAAAATCACAATTAACTTTAAGGGGATTTTTTTCAACGTGTACTGAATGATCAGGTGGTTTTATACTGTAATTGAACTTGTATATCTGGTTTATTTATGAAAATATACATTAATTACATATTAAAGCTTGTAGAATAAATAATATTGATAAAACAGTTTATGTATTTTTTAATCGGTAAACAAGATACATCAAGTTTGTCGAGACAGCTCAAAGGTTGTGGAATATTTAAAAACAGTTTATGTATTTTTTAATTATATTCGCTTTTATCAAAATAAATCAAGTTTGTCGAAACAGCTTAAAGGTTGTAGAATAATTAATATCAATATAACAGTTCATGTATTTTTTAATTATATTCGCCTTTTATGAAACAAGATACATCAAGTCTGTCCAAACCATAGTGTTTAACGAAGAACGATGTTCACCCGACTCTCGCTATTCCCCGATCCTCCCTCTGAAAATAGCGTCATCGGTGTGTGTTTAGGCTCCTGTACCGTACCACACATCCCACAGTATCCGAACCGGATTTACAGTTCGTGGAGACAATATACTACACAGAGACACTACAACCGACAATACCAGATTGAGTAATTAATAACGTTCTCATTAGTTAGACAGTGTGTGTTAATTATGTAGAAGTGTTTGATGACTGTCTCAATCACAGGCTTACTCAGTATTCAGTAATCAGCGTGTCTAACTTAACCTGTATGGGGTTCCCTATTGGTTACCGATCTAGAACCGCTTCTTGCAATCTTAACCTACTTCAAAGAAAAGTCGAATAATGTAACCTTGTGTACACGAATGAATCAATTAAAGAATGGAACGATTCATTAAGCTTAACTATTAATGTCACATGTTTAAGTATATCACAAGTTTCATTCTTTGAAAAAGCAATGTTTTATATACATTTTGTTTACAGATGACGTCACTGGGTCTACACATCTAAGCAGAATCATTTCAGATGCCGATATTAAAACTCGTCTCTCTCAAAGTGAAAACTGTAAATTTAAGTAACATAACTGAGCGCAAATAATTACTGTATTTCTCCGCTATTTATATTTTCAGACTTTAAGAACATGGCGTAAGAATTTGTTGTCGTTTATCATGGAATTAACATAAGACCGAAACCGCCGAAGTGGCTGAAGTTCAATATATCAGCATTACTTTGTGTTTACCTTACAAAGTCTAAGAAATAGCAACGTTGCGCTCAGCAAAAGCACGGCAAAACTGAAAAAGCGCATTTACGACTAAAAACGTGACGAGGCGACTTTTTCCACTGAGTAGTGCACGTGCAGGTCGGGGAAGTCCAACAGGTCATCTAAATGGAGGGTCAGATTTGTTAATTTTCTTACTTTGTGAGGGCGAAGTGACCATCACTAAGTCCAAGCCTAACATGACTTGTCCTGAGTCGGGCCGCATGCTTTTTGCATGGGTCACAAACACTGAGTGGGTTCAGATCTATGGTATATACTCACACAATGGAGGAACATGCGCATAGAATTTTCGTGCATTTTAAAGCGTCGATAAAGTATCAAAAAAACTTTGTCATGGTTACAATCAAATGAATTATTTTCACTTTATTTCTAAAAAAGTAATGTGATCAGTTCTATGTATTACCTTGTAAGACAGGTACAGTTTTAAGTAAGAGAGTCCCACGTAACTGATTCGCTTTTCTCTAATCGTATGACTTTGTCGATCAAACATGTTTAAATCAATAATATTTATATGACTTATATCAAGGTATACACATTCTTAGTTTATGTATTTATTTATAGTGAGAAAATAAGTCAGATCATGTTAGATTTTGTCCAAGATAAGTAACCATAATTCAACTGTTTCCATTTATATACTAAATTGTTAGCAATCGTTTTCAACACAATGGGCAATAGGTGCTGTGATGGGTATATTTCGTCAAAACAATTACCCAAATCAAACGAATTGATAGTCATTAGCTGGTCAGTGTTGTAAGTTAAATTACCATTGTCGTATAAAGAGACTGTATTTAAAGATTAAGCACCCAAGATATCACACAATCCCAATGTTATAAATTGATAACTTACTTATGAGAGTATTTCTTATGGAACTGTAGGATTGTTGTAGCAAAGTTAAGACATAGATTGTTTTTATGAGATATGATCATATAATCACTTTTTACTGTTTATGGGAAAATATCTTAGATTGACTGTAGCGTCTTTCCCATGGCTGTAAGAGGGGCATGGGAAGGGGGTAATTCAACCTCACCGTTATCTAAGATCCCCTTGAAGTACTCGAGTAAGATTAGACACGGGGTTTTGTAATTCGGGTTTCATGGTACGTCCTGTCCGTGAGAGTCCCATCGGCCCAACCAACACAGGCCTACTGGCAAGACAAGGGATCTTTGCAGGAACCGCCTAATACAAGACACCTGTAGTCTTACCTAACTTACACACAATATACTACATTGTATAGCTTCTTCAATATTCCCCCGTACCAACAAATAAGGAATTTGATCCTATTTAGTCGGTTTGTTTTTTAGTTTTTCGGTTATTTTAGTAAGCCATGATCATAGATTCTTTTAAGTCTGTAGAGTTCCTATTTTCAAATTTGAAAATTGTAATGACGCTGCCTACAAATTACAACATTCCACAACATGTTCATATTTTATAGATATTTAACCTGTGCCATAAATATCAATCAAATGTGTAATCATACACTCAAACAGTTATATAAATACAATTTAACACCAAGAAATAATGTATTTTGAAACTTGAAACTTTAGTTTTAGGTATATACTGAGATATTTATGTAATTTTATTAAAATAGCATAATGAATGTGTGTAATGTCGATGGTCGGTGTTTTTAAATAGATCATGGCAATATGTGAATCAAATCAAATATATCAAACATAAACACAGACAACAAAATAACTTCTACAGTAACCCAGTAATGGTTAGCGATAGTTTATCTCCTAAAATCGTCATGTCAGACAGCAGGGGTGCTCGTGTCTTCAAACAAGCCAAGTGTCAGTCCTGTCAAACCCGTCATCTAATCCCCCTAGAAAATCATGTAAAAAAATATACAAAATAAACATCTAAACAAGAAAACTCATGTACTTGACTGCCGTATCTGTTTTTAAATGATGGTTGTATTAAAATCACATCTCAATTCAATCGCTCTTCTATTACTTTCTCTTCTAAATATTGTCTTAAGTTTAACACTGGACATAGATCACAGAATATATTCGCCGATGCGTGTCCGGTCGAGTTTATCATGACCAGTTCGAGTTTATTTGTGTTGTGAGCGCTCACACGCTGAGTTGAAAAGCCCCCGTCAATGTCTAACAGACAACGGGTTTCTTGCGGCGAGAATGCAGTTACCGCTAGAACTCACCTCATTTGCATAACAATTAACCGCTGTAATTTGTGTGGCTGGCTGCGCCCAGCGCGTGCGCCATGCACGCTTTCCCGGAAAGGGCGCTCATTACAAAATGCTCAGCAATGTGAGTGAGAGAGCACAACCATTCAGATAGACTTCAGAGCAAGGCGGGTCAGCGCCTCAAACACCAAAATGCCGAAATCATTTCTAGTGTGTAGGTTTCAAGGCAAGAAGAGACGCCATTCAGAAACAATCTCAGAGACGTCTGAGACTACAAACCAACTGTCTCACCCAGTGGTCACCCCCAATGGCCATTTTTCACCGGACAGGGAGGTCGCCATACTTCGGACAGGTCAGTGCTATGTTCTTCGTGTCAGCTTTCACTCGCTCCGGGCTTGTTTTGACCAGCTTGTCAACAACGCTTATCGAGTCTCAAACATATACGTTATTTTACACAACCGACTTAGACGAGAAGCAGACGACTAAAATATTCTAATTTTTGTAGTTGTCTGTTGTGTATGCTTGAATGACAGGTAAATATTGTTTGAAGTTTGCAGTGTTTTGTGTGTACTTCTCGCTCAGTATAGAGTCCAGTCGGTTCTAACTGTGGTATATTAAGCATCCTGCATTCTACCCATGCTAGCAGTGTTGCTATTCTTGGTGTGAACCCACGTTCTATTGTTATTCCCAATCGATAAAACGTTGACGGGACCCTTCAACACCTGTCGTTCGTATTTCAAATTTCCCTCACTTTTCTACCCATATTTACGATTGCTATCATAGTTGTTGAGTAGACAAGATGGATAAGCTTCTATGGCCGCTTGTCAATGATTGCTATAACCACACACATTTTGCCACCACGATGAGTATTTTGTTTACCTTTCAATGACACGCATGACGAACTTCCTAGCTCATTTCGACATGTCTCTTCTCGATGATATTCTAACATGGTAACTTATATTTCGGATTGTTTGGTATCCTAATTCGTTGTGCAATGGATTCACTGGTACAGTAATATGTAATACACTCGGCAATATGTCCTCAATCCTTTATCCATCAGTTCACATATCTAGCTGATACTACCAGTCCACTAATAGCACTCTCATCCATCAACCCTTGAGCGACACGTGTGTATATTGCTGTTGTGTATGTACACACGCAGCTTTCGTGTCAGCTGTCAGACTCGGTAGTGTCTTAGTATATCTCGACGTGGCCATTGATCATGTCAGAGTTTATTTTTGTAATGACTATTAATCTTTATGCGAATAATTATGTGTGAAATTATTATATTACTTTTGTAAATCCAAAATACTTCCAATGGCAATATTTTACATACGGTCTTCGTGACAAGGGCAGGTATTACTTGTTAGGTTGGAGATAATTGTCAGGTATTGAAAAGTTGGATGTTTGAAATATTATCAGTCGCAATGATTGATGAAGGTGTTTGTTTCCAGTAACAGGACAATAGTTGTTTATGACTTTGTATTACATAACAGGACGATTACAATGTAAACGTTGTTTGTGGTGACGTAAAGTTACTAACAGTCCCAAACGTATGCGAATCAAAGTCAATATTCTTTTTATCCAGCGAACGATTCATCTTCCACCGGTGTCAATAATTGCTGTGACAAGCCCAGGCCTCGCCACAAACACTACCACGCGCAGCTGTCTATGGCTTTCAAACCTCGCGCGTTCGACGTCCAACAATACCCGTTGCCTTGGTTACCGAGAAAGGCAAATCCCAGAGTAGCAGTTGCCGTTAGTCAATGGGTTTGAATGGGCGCTCTTGATGACGTCACATTTACGACCCCCCGTAAAGACTGACCGTCAGTGTCGGGGTTCGTCTGATGAACTACCGTGATTACGTAACGCCCCGGCGATTCAAATCAAACTCAAGCGTTGAGCCCTTCATTGTATACGACTACCACTGCCGTGTAATCAGCGCAAGAATCACACGATTTCTAGGTGTGAGAAAGTGTTTAGACAGTTAAATTAAGAAGTCGAGTCCTTTGTCTCTGGGCTAGTAAAACAAGCCTTCAGTCAATTATTGTCAAAACAACGGAAGATGCCCGTCGGCGGTTTTAACACTTTACTGGACATAGTGCTTATTTTGTTGAAACGCCGAAAAGCTTACAATTAACTTTGAATGCTAAGTTAAATGGAATGAAAACGAAAGTTAATTAACCCTTTTCTCAGTAGGTTAATGTTGATCCTACTATCAATCACAGCCTCACTCAAACGAATCGACTATCAGGTACGGCCGTAAGTACGATTCCTTAATGAAACAAAAATCTGTTGAAGTGTACATACCGCTTGAAAAATCAATCGTTTCCTCTAAGCTTAAGGTCGAAACATGTTAACCTATACAAACAAACTTAATAACCACCTTGAACAATTCCCGTGACGTTTAATTCCAAAGTATCTGTACCCCCTTAAATTTATACCCCCATATAACGCTCCCTGATGTAGCCTCATTAGCTACTGACCCATCTTTGTCCATCAATCCCCACCCCGAGGGGGTCGTCCGCTCCCCCTTACGCCATATTGTTAGCTGTCCAAATTTCACTGACCTCTGATCGCGGTCACGATAACGCCCGGTCATCCCGTAATCCGACCCCCCTTGTGGTTCGTGTTAACTCACCCCCACCGGGGTGCTATCCTATCTATCCCCGGGGCGGCCGAGAACAACTGGAAACATAGTTAATTTTGAATTTGGGCGTTTGGTTTTATTATCAAGCCATGTTGCGATGCGCCATATTTGAGCAGGACAAGTTGATTACGTTATGGTTGCATCCGGAGTCGATTTCGGAAAATATTGAACTGTTAATTTTCTTAAAGCAGTATATTCTTGTTAGATATACTTTTTTGGTAACTCATGTCAATTAGCATTGATGTGACTACATTTGTCGTTGACTTGGTAACATAACGAACGGTCCCTATAAATAGGCAAGATCTATACGTATGCTACTCAAACAAAGTTAAGGACAAACAGATTCTTTCATAATTAAGGTAATCTGTGTGTAGCAATATAAAAGAATCGTGTGGTCCTTAAAATCTTTTGCATGGAATATATGTACACTTTATATCATGGCCAATCCTACAGTATGCATGCTGTTGCACATACTGTGAACTGTTACAGCAGGGGACTTGTTTAAATAAGTAAATTTAGAAACGCGTTAAAAAGAAGTTAATGTTGAAGTGAAAACAGTTTAAAATGTAAAGAAATCTATAATTGGTTTTTGAAGTATCCCGTGTAATATTGTGAGTAATTATATACGTTTCTTGGAACTATTGGAATGTTTTGTATTAAAAACTAACCCAGGCAACTTTCCCTCATCATGCCACCATTAAATATTCATACACTAATCTCCCAAATAATACACGTCGCATCACACTCCTCAACAGTCTTTTGTTATTTCTCCGCTCCGACTTCAGATCAGCTGTTCGCCAGGAATACATAATGTGTCTTTGTTGAAGCCTATTAGCCAATATTAAGGCAATCACCCAGTTGTGAAGATATAAAAGCGATCTGCTTGCGGCAAAACAAACACTTCCTTGTATAAGAAAGCCGCGTGTTCGACGAGTCTCGATCATATTGCAAATGGCGTGTATTATGTCGTCTGCCTTGTCGCGTGCCAGGCACGTGGCTTGTTTTTTCGGGTCACCTGTCTATCGGAAGGCAAATGTCCCTCCTTCACTCAAACCTTCAACATGCAAAGGAATGAGGCTGCTTGGGACAAAGAACGCTTTCATTCGCTCTTCCCGCCTCGCCTGCCATTTATCTTCTGCCGAACCGTTAAAAAGGAGGCGAGCAGATGTCGGCGGAGCTCTCGGCCCGTCAGATAGCAGATGAATAGGAAAGCGCGGGAAACTTACATCAGACGACAGACCATTAAGCCGTGAGCAAACCTGACCAGCAATCTCCCTGCTGTGCAGAGGTGGGATCGGGTTTGCCAGTCACGTGACTTATTGTTATGGGTCACGTGGTACATGCAACAGATGTTTCCTCGCCATATTGGCAAAAACACCGCGAATGTTAAAGAATTTGTGGCCCGTGCCATCCCATTGCGTACAGTGGGCACGAGGTCACTATCTGGTATTTGATCTTTTGAAGCGGGTATGGCCCCGGGGCATGCCGGACCTTGCTACAACCTCTGACCTGTAGTGTCTTTTGTGACTAGCCATGGGAGATAACGACCCTTTTACACCTTTGAACAATAGAAAAAAATAAACCCTGAGAATCCGTTCTAATCCTAACAGGATATGAGGACAATGGGATCAATCACTTGCCATTGGTAACTCGTTCTAAGAAATGACTCTGCCCCAGTTTATTTGAAGTACGAGACTGGAATGTCTTACAATATGGTTGATAGCATAACTGATAAATGAGTTTATTTCTAATATGTTACTTTGTGTTTACAGACGCCGCCGTCACTGAAGCCAAACGAGTCCGTTTGTCAGAAGACGCCTCCGTCGACTTGACCGTCACAGCCAGTGAACGCATTAACGATGACATCACAAGTCACGATAGCACACACCTCGACAACAGCAAAGGATCGCCATTCTCCTACAACAGCGATTCCAGTGGCTACTCCTCAGGCTATGCATCCAAAGACATTTCTGATGTATCGTCATCGTTTAGTCACCCCAGTACGTTTGACCGTTCGGCGGCAAACACACCGACACCCGACTCGTCGGTTGTCAGTACAGTGTCTGAAGTATCGTCCACACAGATGGAACCCACAGTAACCCCACCCCCACGTGCCCCTTCTCCCTCCTTGTCCCGGGTGGAAGAGGTGCGTCCTGCCTTTACCACCCCGGATGTAAAGACTGAGATGTCTGCTACACCGGTGAGGATGACCGCCCCAACTAGAAGTCTTCCTTCAGTTATTCTTAGCTCGACTCCTAAATCTGCTGCAGAGAGCATTCCCATCGCCTGCAGACGAGTGTTTCCAGTTCTGCACATGCCATGGATGAGTAGTCCAATACCTGGACGTCTGCCATCCAGATCTCGTTACGCCACCCTCACCCCACCCCCAACGCCGTCTCACGCCCCATCTTCTGAGACAAGCTGGCAGTCGTCGAGCAACCCGCCCAGTCCTCGTACAGACATGTTTAAACCACACAGTGATGCAACTAAACCTTCAATGGCAACAAGTATGCCTGTGACCTCAGCTGGATATGTATCTTCCCGCTACGCAGAGAACTCAAAGGAAAATATTGTCCCCAAAATGCTCGAAAGGCCATTGAACGTCGTTGCCGACGTACCAAGGACTCCTTTTGCCAGGCAACCGTTGCAGAACTTTACCAATAACAAGTTTTACGCTCAGTCTTTGTCTTCGCTCCCAGTGCAAGGCGGTCGTATACCAGTGCTACCCCAGGGTACGAAGGCTCTGCCCCTCACCATGGCTCATCTCCCCACCCATGTGTCTTCCTTACCCCCATATGCAGTGAGGAATATGTGCCTCGGGGATAAGACCAATGTATCCATGTACCATAGTGCAGTTCAACCGTGCTCAACCATCACCTCTGATCACCCCCGCGCAACGTGTCCACCTAGTCTAGAAAACGCCATCCCACCGGTGAAGTATCAGCCCAGGCCTCCCCCACCCCAGCCCCTGCGGCCTTGGGAGGATACCAATACAAAAGACACTTTCGCTAAACGTCCTGTCACCCCCCACCTTATTGCTCAACCTATGCCTTTAATGACCAAACATGACCCTAACGGAAGTGTATCACCTCAACCTTTGAACTTTTCCATGGATCACCGCAATAATATAACCATGGCGAATCCCTACAGATCAACGACATCTGAACTGAACACTCTTCCCAGGGAGATGAAATCCACTTCCCCAATGTCGGCCCTGTCTGTGGTCACCGACATATCGCCCAATGTGAAGTATGAGGACGCTGAGAACCGCCTGACCCCCACCACTCCAGGCTCGTCCCCTAACAGCGGCAAGGAAGCCAAGTGGTCCCTGGTCTCCCTGCACGACCTTGAGATGGCGTCCCGTGACGAACACCGAGATGTCAAAATGGCGCCTACGTTGTTGCTTCTCCTCAAGGTTTGTTTCTTAAACTTCATACATTCAAACGTTACGGGATTATCAACTGAATGAAAGTAATGGGTAAAGCATGGGGTGTATAAGACATAGTTGAAGGTTCCTACAAAGTAAATAAAAAGGGCATGTGCTTAATTTTACACTTCGATTTTTTTCAGCAAGCAGGGCGTACAGACGTAGAAGTGATCAATGGCGGCTATGGTATCAAGAACCCATCTTTCACTGAAGCGGACCTCGAGGACACCGTCATCAAACAGAAAGGTAAACGCCAGTTATAAATCTCCCCCCCCCCAAAAAAATAAAAATAAATAATAATAATAATAATAATAAAAAAATAAATAAATAAACGCCTTCTGTCACTAATTCAGGAAACATCAGAATTAAACTTGCGAACGTTTATTTTCCTCATTAAATATTTCATTTACACCATTTTTATTCTATTCCATATTCTATTTAAATTTTACTTTTCAATGTAGTAAAATTCAAATTTAAATTTTCAGCTGTGATGACCGACAGCGGGAGATACATGTGCAAGGTCTGCCAGAAGGAGTTTGCGCTGCAGCGGCTGCTGAACCGCCATGTGAAGAACCATAGCGAGGTCAAACGGTACCTTTGTACGTTCTGTGGCAAGGGCTTCAACGACACCTTCGACCTGAAGCGACACACGAGAATACATACAGGTAAGCAGTTATAACACGGCATAATTGTGCCACTTATGTTAATTGGATTATTCATATTCTGTTCTACATGAAGTTCTGCGTTTTCTTTTAAATTTAGACTCGGTTCAATTATTTAGTAAATTAATCACAATAATTATGATCGAATTTGTTTCCCGATCTGAGAAGAGATTTATTTATGTGCCATGATATAAACTCCTGTGTATGTTTCAAATTTTGAATAAACAAAGCTGGGCAAATGATATGTATGTATGATATTGGTACATTTATAAGACAGTGGGTAAAAATGTTGTTATTGATTTGCAGGTGTTAAGCCATATAAGTGTGAGAAGTGTGGCAAAGCTTTCACCCAGCGTTGCAGTCTCGAGTCCCACGCCAAGAAGGTGCACGGCTCCGAGCTGGCCTTCGCTTACAAGGAACGTCGGTGTAAGATGTACGTCTGTGAAGACTGCGGACACACCACCGGTGACCCCGAGCTCCACTACGTTCACCTCAAGGACAACCACCCCAACTGCCCCGCCCTCGAGAAGTGCCACGATAAACGTCAGTTTAAATTCACTGATGGAAAGATCCCCAGTGCTCCAGTTCTCAATCCAATGAACTAATGTCTTGCGGAAGAATACTCCAGTTTCTAGTAGTGCTCGGACTGCTTCCAGTAGTCGCCATTTGTTTTGTTACCGTTATGTGTGACTGTTACTGTTCGTTCTTCTCCGTCTCGTCGCTCGACTGTTATCGGATGTAAATATTTGAACGCATCTTTCTTGTCGGACTGAGTTTATAGTCTCGACTAACTTTCAGAATTGTACAATTCGACTACCATATTTGGTAGGAAATGTATATTTGAACATGAAGTCAACCCGCCATGTTATTGCATGCTGGGTACCATCACTTTACAGCTTCAACAGTATTGAACAGTACTGAGATTCTCCAAACTTTACCTCGTCTTAGACAACCTATAGTTTGTAAATTGCTTTTTGACAAATCCGAAACTAGTCATTAGTGCATTGTCAACTTGTCACTGTTGCATTTTACAAGCTACCACACGCCGCTTTGATGTCGTTCGCATTATGCCAAAGTTTACAAAGAAGTCGATTTATTTTGTGCAATATTTTTTCTTGATTAGCCTCCGTCGCTGTGTTCTGTGTCTGCACTATCCTAGCTAGTCTTCTACGATCTTTGTATCATATGTTCGTTATTTATTGATTAATGTCGGTGCTACATCACTCATTACAACCCAAGTTGTGCAATATTCCATGAACAAGCTACGTTCCATGCATTCTGTTTGCATTCACCACAAATAAACAAATCACAATAAACTATTTGGTGCTGTCTTTCTTTGCTCCGTATCAATTCGGTTTGGTTTCCACACACGTACGATTCCGGGGTAGAATAGGTCTTCAGCAACCCATGCTTGCCGTAAAAGGCGACTAACGGGATCGGGTGGTCAGGCTCGCTGACTTGGTTGATGCATTTCATCGATCCCAATTGCGTGGATCGATGCTCATGATATCGATCATTGCATCGTCTGGTCCAGACCGCCGTCATATAGCTGTAATATTGCTGAGTGTGGCGTTAAACAACCAACCAACCACACCCGTACGAGCGGTTGGGTAGTCTAGTGGTTAGTTTAGCTCGTGTTGCTGAGGCCCTGGGTTGATATTCCTACTTGGCTACAAAATGTAAAACCAGTTTCTGGTGTTCCCCTCAGTGATATTGCTGGAATATTGCCAAGCGGTGTGAAATCCAACTCTCCCAATCCTCACCGTGCTTGTACGAATAAGGCCTCCTGTGGATTAGATGGTCAACATGGATAATGAAATGACGATGTTACTTATATGGGGATCCATCTGGAGGACATGTTTTCTGGGATAGACATTATTAATCAAATCTAACCAGCACCGCAACTTCTCAGCAAGGACCAATGTTTTATGTTACATACTGACTATAACATGTAGGGGTTCGCGAAAAGGATAAGCCTGTTCTGCCATACCGGTAGGAGCTGAAAAGAAAATGGGAAGGGGATCTGGGTGAATGTTTTATACAATATGTTCTGCGGTCTGTAAGAGAGACTAGAAACATACGTGTTACTATATATTTGGGAAATAAACATTACTATTTCTAAATATGCACTTGTTTATGGCCTAGTAGTGGTGTCGATCCTTTGTCATTGCACACTAATGGCGCAGATCTGTGAACCTATGCAATCTGTTGCCTTAACCTTTGATATTGTTAACAAAACATTCAATGTCGACCATGGTTCAAGGCGTCGCAATTCTCTGCGTATTTGCGCCCGTTTGACGTCCCTGAATCCACTGCTCGTTGGTTCAACTCCGAGTTTTGTCCTATTAACGATTATTGGTTTGTAGGCACCATACCCGTGCTGCTGGGTATCATCCGAGGAGCAGGGGGCACGGGTGGCCCAATCGTCTAAGGCGCCCCGATTCTCTGTGTAGAGTTGCGTCCCTTGGGCACGCCAGAAACCTATGATTGTGGGTTCGAATCCCGGTTCGCCCCGATTATGTTTATAGGTTTGTCAGCACCATACCCGTGCTCGTGGGTTTCACCGATGTGGTAAACGTCTGAGACCTGCATCACTTGGGGCTTTCCTCCCACATTAAGCTGACAGGCCGTGATATGACTGGAATAGTGTTAAAAGCGGCGTTAAACACAACTCACTCACTCATCCGAGTAGTGAACTCAAAACCTGCATAACTTCGGGCTATTCTCCTTTAATTTGCTCTTTTATTTAGCTCACACGCCGTTTATATCTTCGCCCTGTTGTTCAGCATGTATCGCATTCTTAAGGAAATTGGCATTACATTCTATAAATATCGTATTAACAAGCATATACACGTTAATTTAATAAGTTTCTTTTTATAAACTTGGAACATTTTTAAAGAACTAGACATGCACCAGGACGCTCAACATTAGCGCTACGACTGTCGTAAGTCTATGTTAAGGTATCGAAATTACGACCACCTTAGCGCTAAGATCGCTCTGTACAACGGAACCCTGGTCATTTAGACCTTTTAGTCTTGAACACGGCGTTTAAGCATACACTGGGAAGTCAGAGTTTGACTGATACAGTCTTCATCAATCAAAGTATTTATTTAACATCCTTACTATCACTTTTCAATGATCAGCCAACTGATCAATGATGACTCATACTTGTAATCGCCACAGGTTCATCAACAACTTCGGAAATCTCGCCCTTCACTCCTGTCGTGGCGGCCATTTTGACGCCTTGATGTAAATATATAACAACGCGCTGTCATTGTGACTGACTTACTGGGTTCTTTACAGACCATTTCCATCTAATGGTGATATTATTTGAATACATGTATTGCAAACAAGCTACAAAAGTGTCTGTAGAACAATGTAAGCAAACATATACGCTCAGGTCGCCTCTCCTTTGGAGGAACTACTTCATTCCGCGATACACTCACCGCACTCAGCAATATTACAGCTATATGACGGCGGTCTGTCAATAATCGAGTCTGGACCAGACAATCCAGTGATTAATATCATGAGCATCGATCCACGCATCAACCAAGTCAGCGAGCCTGACCACCCGATCCCGTTAGTCGCCTTTTACGACAAGCGTAGTCACCCTTTACGGCAAGCATGGGTTGCTGAAGACCTATTCTATCCCTGAATCTTCACGGGTCGGTTGTCAAAGTAAACATGAAGTCATACGTACTAAGTATAGAGGGGTGGTCGGATAGCCTTGTGATTAAAACGTTCGCTCGTCACGCCGAAGACCAAGGTTCTATTCCTGACATGGGTACAATGTGTGAAACCCATTTCTGGTGCCCCCGCCGTGATATTTCTGGAATATTGCTAAAAGCGGCGTAAAACTAAACTTACTCACTAAATATAGTTGTGTTTAAAACTACACCCTTCGAGGTAAAACATAGTGATTTAAAAATTAAGTTATATAAGCGTTGGCTTTCACTTTGAGTGCGAGCTCCGCCGTTCATATTGTATGAAGGTTCATACTCCAATGACCTCAGACTAAGTGAAAGTCAATTCTTAAATAATAGAGTACAGTAAACTACGGTTAAAACGAACTCAAAGGGACTACTAATTTTAGTTCGTTATAACCGTAATTCGTTATAAGCATATTACCTCATAACTACAGCATATAGTCGGGACTAAAAAGTTAGTTCGTTATATCTGTTAGTTCGTTATAAGCGTGTTCGTTATAACCGTATTTTACTGTATAATGTTATGTCGCTGAATGCTCTGTCTCACACACCTACTCAAAGGCACGTGTGTACAGGATATCTGTATGTAGATTAGCCCCATGACCCGAGGTCGGTTACATCCACCTGTTGAAAAAAATCACCTGTCCAGCCCTCGAGGTGAATATTGGGCGTTCGCGTTGGAAGAGACTATCAATTTTGTTCAGCTTTAAAGGACCTCCTTTGATTTTACATCTTGAAAGGGGAGTCTTGAGCTGTTGGTAGACCATTGTCCTGAAACACAATCATCTTTGTCGATACCGTGTTATAACATATCTAGGGCGTGTTAAAGAACTGTTTTGTAACGCTGCCTCGCGTGTAGATGGGGATTGAACAAAGAACATTTGCACAGGGGACCCCGAAGAACAAATGAAAGATTTGTAGTGAATTTACATCTATATATCGACAAACGTCTATCGTGATTAAAATCGTTGTTATCAACATGATTGATTCCGTTCCGACGGCGATACCTCTCTGTTAGATTAGACAAACATTGATATACATCGATATATAATCACACTGATATAGAGCTCTATGATAAGGATTGATATTCAGTGATGTAACACACGGTGGCATACCATCTATGCTATCGGTGTTACAGCCGGTAGACGTTTAGTTTACTGAATCCTTAACGCTTTCCAAGCTGGCTTAAGTAGCATAGAACACATGACGGTGTGAATATACACCATGATTGTATAGAACACCACATATAGAGAGTTGTACTTTTTAACAATGCCATTAATCAGAGCAGAGAGACAGATGTTTATTGCAACACGAAAGCCATACAGATGTAGTTTTATGATGGGAGTTAAGCATCTGAATACTTAATTGTTGGCACGCGGTCATCCCTTTAGGCGTTGCTTGAAATATTAAAAATGTACAGTTGGCGTAGAGTCTCAAACGCTGTATGATGTAGTGATGGTAAAACAAATTTATCATCCAAAACTGGCTCGCACAGGAGATATCGCTTGGTTGGTTGGTTGGTTTGTTGTTTAACGCCGCACTCAGCAATATTCCAGCTATATGACGGCGGTCTGTAAACAATCGAGTCTGGACCAGACAATCTAGTGCTTAATATTATGAGCATCGATCCACGCACTTTGGATCGATGACATGCATCAACCAAGTCAGCAAGCCTGACCACCCGATCCCGTTAGTCGCCTTTTACGACAAGCATAGTCACCTTTTACGGCAAGCATGGGTTGCTGAAGACCTATTCTACCCCGGAATCTTCACGGGTCAGATATCGCTTGGATGAGATCAAGCGATATCTACACTGTACACTTTGCAGACCATTGTGACGTCACTGTTACATGACGTCACAATCAAATGACATTCCTTATGGCTCTGCTAATGAAACTGTTAGCAGTACTTTTTTTTACACTGAAGACACTGCTAATTACTGTCTGCAAATTGAAAAAGTTGGACGAATGATTTGGATGATAAATAAAATCTCACCCGAGTGTCTTTTGATATCAACACTCGTTGATAAAAGTGGCAAAAATGCTCGGCAAGCCTCGGAATTTTACGACTTTTATCAACTCTTTTTGATATATTCAATATCAAAAGACACTCGGGTGAGATTCTCTATATCTATTACAGAAGAATTGCGGTGAGACAGCTTTTCGAGAAACGCAGTCACGAACGAAATTGTCAGCTTCAGGCCACACGATGAGACAAACATGTTGTCTTACAAGAAATATCAAATATTCTTTCTGTTATGTTTTTTCTTACTGATAATATCTGAAAACAATGTTGTCAATGAGACGGACTGAAAGTATCTGCATTAAGTGTTATTACATCGGACCCGTGAAGATTCCGGGATAGAATAGGTCTTCAGCAACCCATACTTGCCGTAAAAGGCGACTATGCTTGTCGTAAAAGGCGACTAACGGGATCGGGTGGTCAGGCTCGCTGACTTGGTTGATACATGTCATCGGTCCCAAATGCGTAGATCGATGCTCATGATGTCAATCACTGGATTGTCTGGTCATGACTCGATTAATTTACAGACCGCCGTCATATAGCTGTAATATTGCTGAGTGCGGCGTTAAACAACAAACAAACAAACA